GGTTGACAAGAAAAGGTTTTAAGCTCAAACGGGCTACTAGTGGAATAAATTTAGGACCAAAGAACAAGGCAGAAGTGAGCTAATCAAACAAAACGCCTCAATCATATTCGCAATTTCAAACTCAAATCGATTCCTTCCAATCAAACTCAAGGCAAGTTCTAATCATTCAAGAATATGACCAATATCTCACAAGAAAGAAGAGTAAGGATCAAAAACCTCACAAGGCAAATATATGTCACTCAAAGCAATCAAGCATATACCGAGGCAATGATCAACACAACCATCATCACAACTTCCCAATTTCATCAAACATTTATCAACAAATCCTATAATTCACCAATACCATGCTCAACGATACAAAAACCTAAAACTAGACCAGTTCACCACATAAGCAAGCAAAATCCCAATGGACTCCCCCACACTTAAAATGAGGCAATGACCTCATTGCTTCAACTCAAAACAGGGAGTTAACTACAAGAACTAGCAATTTCATGCAATAAACCAATACCAGCAACTAACACAAGACACAAACTCAAAAGAAAAGACAGGAGAAAGAACAACTCAAAAAGGACAAAAAGGAGAGGGTGTGCAAACCGAAAATGCCTCGAGGAGAATAAGCATCCACATACGAGCTACTCGCCCACGCACCGCTCTGGACCTCGATATTCGTCCTGCTCAAGCTCGCAAACTCGTACCTGCCAAGAAAAACACAGAAACTCCAAACTCCAATTATTAAAAGATGAAATAAAAAGCAAAAAGAAAATAACTAAGAAAGCAGTAAATCACTTGGGTTGCCTCCCAAGAAGCGCTTGTTTAACGTCATTAGCTTGACGAAACCTGTACACTTATCAACCAGGATCCAGAAAGAAGTGGCGATCGTGCCACGACTTCGTATTTTCCAGAAGTGGCAGCATGGGAAGGGTGGCAAAAAGGCGGGCATGGTGGGTCCGGGTGGCTGTGTTCTGAAGGAAGTGGTCTCGGGCACGAGCAATCCCCAAATCTAAACGCAGAGCTTTTCCCACTCGAGCTCTGTCGTCAACCTCCGGGATGATAAGCACATCAGTGGAGCAAGTCGAATTGATCACCCACTTCGTAACACAGTGCAACAGCCTCGAAGAAAGATGCTCTAACTCAGAAGTGGGAGGAGTGACTTGAGAATCAAGCCCTTGGATCTCCTCCTCCGAGCTAACATCAACGTCTCGCTGGAGCTCATCATCTTCTTCGGCCTCACACATTTGCTTCATCGTAAGGGCTTGAGTATCAAGCATGAGGTGTGGGTTGTCGACTTGTGCTTCAATCAAATCGAGACGTGCAGTGAGGCTCTCTATTTGTGTGCTCAGTCGAGCACATCCGAGCTCAATCTCCTTTTCTTGGTTGGCTCGGGCCATCATCCAATCGAGGATGAGGTCGAGCTTGGCATTGTACTCTGAGGAGTCGTCCTGAAGCTCATTTAGATGCTCAGGCATGGGATGTGCGTCCACAACCTCGAGCTTGTGGGCCTGGGACTCGATCGAGCCAATGCACCTTGCTAGACTTTCTACTTGCTCGCTCAATCGGGCACATCTGAGCTCAATCTCCTCCTCTTGTTTCGCTCGGGCCATCAATCGATCTAAGATGAGATCGAGTTTGGCATTGTAGGCGGCCTCTTCTTCTCGAGCTGAGTTGGACTCTATGAAATCAAGAATCTGGTCGAGCTTATCATTAAATGCATAGGACTCAGATGGTTGCTCAATCGAAAGATTGTTCCAGCACTGCTCGGAAGAATATGGGTAAGGTTGGGTGTGGTACTCGGGGAAATAGACCGGCTCGTCATTCCAAGATGGGTAATGTAGGGAAGAGTACTCGTGATTGAAATTCATTGTACCTGCACACCAGAACCAAACAACCACGCATAGCCAAGAAAAAAGAAGAGAAAAAAAGGCAAAAACTAAAACAAGAACAAAAGAGAAAAACACATATGCACAAAAGAAACAAAAACACTAAAAATACTAAAACCAAGAGAAAACACAGAAAATAAGATCAAACACCAAAATTAAATATCCTACTTGCCGTCCCCGGCAACGGCGCCAAATTTGTTGCGTACAAATTGTTATATTTTACCGAGTACCGAATCAAGGATCCGTTTCCCGGGTCGATTTCTCGAGGAAGGCGGTTCGGAATTTAACTTCGGTATTGATTTCACACAAAATGAAAAATAAAAACCTAAACACTCTAATCAAGATTGGGATAGAATAATTACCAACTAAGAATAATATAAAACAATAATCTATCTAAAAATATAAACGAAACAAAGATGGAGAAGCTAGGGAATTGGGGATAATTTATTCAAGTTCTAGGCAAAACTGGGCCATCAATTGTTCGGTTCGAGATTGACACTTTCGCTTAGACATGTAGCGGTTCGCTCCCAATAACTCTTCGTAACAAGGAATTGAACATAGACGGGCTAGCTCGAGCATACAACACATGTCAATTATCCCAGTCTCAATAACTTTTCGTAACAAGAGACGGGTCATCGGCAAGTGTGTATTTCAATCCAAAACCTATAGAATATTCATTTACGAAATCATCTATCTCATGCAAGCCTAGGTCTACGACTTCTCCCCTTTCGGTTCTAAAAGTTGCTAATTCAATTAGAAGGTGTTTAATCAACTAATCATATGGAATCAACAAATCCTAACTCGACAAATCAATATTCAATCGTTACCAATTGCAAGATCGAAGTGTCACCCTTCGATTATATCAAACTATCAAGCACAAATTCATCAATTCCTAATCAATTCAACTCACATAAGCATGAACAATCTTGAGCCCGACAAATGCACGTTAAACAAGAATAATCATCCCCTATCCCTAGCAATCAGATTTAGCTACGTAAATTCAATTCAACACGATCAATCATCTCAGCCCAAGCAATTATTTTCATAGATAAAATGAAAAGAAAGACTTACGATTGATATAAAAATCGAACGTTGGCTCTGTATTACAAGCTTCGTCCAACAGCAATGGAAAAATCACGGTGAAACAATGGAGTTTTTGGAGAGAAAAATCAAAAGAAAGATAGAGTGGAAGGAGAGAAAGAAAAGAGCAGGGACGTGGTGTTTTTCTCAGACCTAGGGTTTTCACCCGGTCGAGAGGTGTAGAATGATCGATCCTACGCATGAATATATATAAGCACCGATTGCCGCGGCGTGGAAGGACGAGGCGCGGCGTGATAGCTTGATGTACCGCGGCGCGGGAGCTGGCTGCGGCGCGAGGGAAGGCCTGGGGCGCGGTGCGATGTTGCTGCACGGCGCGGAGGTGAAGGGCGCCGCTGCTGGCACGGCGCGGGGCGCTCCACGGCGCGGCACTGGGAGAGGCATCGTCTGAAGGCCCGTGACGGGTGTCACGGCGCGGGGGCTCGGCGCGGCGCTAGTACTGGTGCTCGGACCACTTGCGTGATTTCACCTTTCGGAGTCGTTCGGACTCGTTTGACATCGGAATTCGATTCCGCTTTTTTCTGTGCATTGCCAACGAAACGCTCTATTAAATGATGTTCACCTAGCCCACTTATCATGGAAAATAGATTCTCCCGAAGCTTTCGACCTGCACACCAGAAACAAAGAAAAACCGCAAAAACAAACGGAAAACACAAGATAAACCAAAATAAAGCAAAACACACAATAAACTATAAAACAACCTAAAAACCAAGGAATAGACCTAATATGGGGGAAAAAGAAAGGAAAATCAACACGAAAAACGCGACAAAAATGGGACAAACAAGCGTCTCGCGGTTAAGTTAAAATTAAGGAAAAATTCGGGTAACTGATCGTGTCGTTGCCTAGGGCTAGTAATTTCATAGGATAGCGAGATTTGATACCAAAGTTGATTAGACGAGTCGGTTGAGGGTGTAGACGGAACCGTGAACTTTATTTTTATTTTATTTGTTTAGATCTTATTTATTTTAGTTAGTTTAGCTATTAAATCACAATCCCCCTCTTTTATTTCTTTCATAATTTCAATTAATACGAGAAAATTCACGATTTGATTCACACTCCTCGTGGGATCGACCCTTGCTTGCCACTACTACTAGTTAGTAGAGGTTAGTTGAGGAAAATATAAATTATAATTTTGCCGCGTTGCGACGCGCGGTCATAACTCGTGCGAATGACTTAACCAGAAATGAGGTTCGTGTTGTTGTCGATTTACGTCGGAGTGGCGATTGGATCGAGTTTTTTTTTTCCCGATAATATCTCGCAATTTTTTCTGAAGAATGAAGTCTTCTTGCGCAACGAAATGGGGAAGAAGAAGAAGAGAAGAGAAGAATTTGCTTTTTTATTCAATTGTAAAACGTATTACAATAATACGTTTTATACCTATTTAATTGTAAAACGTATTTATAAAATATATTTTTATTTATTTTTTTTATAAAATTTTTTAAAAACGTATAATAATTATACGTTTTTCAATATTTTTTAACTTTTTTTAAATTTAAATTTTATGAATTAAAAACGTATTAAAAAAATTTATTTTTTAAAACCCTAAAAATCAATCAATTTAGGGTTTTGGAAAACGGATTTGTTAAATACGGTTTATAATTATTATTTTTTCTTCAATTCCACTCTTTTTAAAAAGAAAGAAATATTTTTAAAATTATTCAAAATTAAAAATAAAACGTATAAGTAGAATACGTTTTTCTAATATAATGTTATTAGAAAAACGTATCCATAGAATACGTCTTTTTTATTTTTTTTCTACTCTTTTTTTTTTCCACTTATTTCTTTTTTAAAATAAATAAACTACCCTTTTTCTTTTACCTTTTATCGTAGCGCCTCACCCTTTTGTGTGTCGGAAACCACTAGATTTCTCTCCTACCCTTAGCGCCTCACCGATTTTTCAAAGAGTTTAAAAGTTCAACAGATTACAAAGAGTTTAACAAAATAAATAAACTTCAACAGATCAATAGCTACAATTGAAATTCCAATATCATAAACAAATTTTCTACACTTGTAATCCCCAGCAGTTTAATCATCATCATCAGTCCGAAATTCTTGTTCCTTTTGGCCCTCAGAATAACTTTCATCATCTCCATCGCTTGAATATATGAGCTTTTCTTTCCCCTTGGCCTCATAATCAGGACGCAACTTCTTTCGAGTTCCAGAGCTTCCGCGAGTATTTGGCCTACTACGATCTTCATTATCGGACACAAAATCGTCATCCCCATGAGAGTGGCCCCGTTGCATTATACCAACTTTCTTATGTTGGAGTAATTTTGTGCCAATTAATTCCGATTTCCTCCAAAATTGTAACTTCTTCTGTACGAGTTCTCAATTCATGAACGCGAACTGATTCTTAATGAATCTGGTAACAATCACCTTCAAAATCAGATGGTGTGTTAGAAACGTAGGTTTTCACACTACTTTTAGCCATGAAATTTGAGATAAATATCAGAGATCTCAAAATATATGATATGAATGTACAATGCTATGTCATTTTTAGACTATTACAATTAATAGAAATGCTAGATACTCAACTATCCCAACTAAATTTAGGCAAATATACATAATAGAACATTCATCTATATCTAGTTNAAAAAAATAAAAATAAAAAGAATAAGGGAGTCTAATAAATGTATGACTTTGGCTCTAACAACTAATTAATAAGATGTGAGAATTACATCAAACAATGTCAAATTGTTTTGTATCTTTCTCATCAAGATGACACCTTTTTATAATGCTCTTTGCTATCACAAACTGCGTAAAAAACGGAAGAATCGATCTGCCAGTGATTACAATACAGTCATCGTGTTGATATTACTGGATCAATATACACACAATACACATACTTACACGGGTGTGTAGATCCTATGGTAAAAAAGGGCGGCTACTACTAAATAAATTTTGAAGGTTCACATTGCCAAGACATAAATTTTGCAGGTTCACATTGCCAAGACATACAACCACCAACAAAATGGTATCCAGAGTGGCTGATCGCACAAAGAAAAAAAGAACTCGAAATCAAGAAAGGGTGGCTTAAAACATATTATTGTGATCTTCGTCACGCCTAACAGGTATATAAAAAGTATCATTTTTACTTCTCAAAAAAGCTTACAAAGAAAAGTGGTTCGGTTAATGCCTTTGATGGCAACAAAATTTAAGAATGTAACTTGTACGTGTAACCAACAAGTTATGAATCTTATTAATAATTACTTGAACCCGTAAGAATAAATAATTTCTATAAACCAAAGTAATATGTATGTCATGTAATACAATTTATCAATTACATTTTTTGTGTTGATAAAAATAATTTCATTAGATATATTGAGAAAACATAAAACAATAATGTTAAGAGTTTCTACACTCTGTCTTCCAAACTAGTAACAAAACAATTATGGTGTGACTGATATGATCGAATGACATGAGAATAAAATGATCATTCTTACTCATTCTTAATTTCACGATTGATATATTATATAGAAATGAATGACTATTCAAATGGGAATCGCAAAATCCATCTCCATAGGATTCATCATTCTATAGCTAATGCATGGTTTTCCCGTTCCCATATATTTAGGATTAAGTTTTTCCAAAAATAAAATTAAAAAATAACAATAAAAAATAAATATATAATATGTACTATAGATAATGAATAAATTATATTAAATAAAATCGTTTTTAAAAAATAAAATTATAATAAATAAATTAAAATAATTCATTTATTTATTCTTCATATTTTACTTAGATATATTAAATCTTCTATAAAATTTAAACTAAAAAAAAAATGCATTTATAAGTGGTTTAGATGGATATTATTTTATTTCTATATAATCATTTATATTACGTATTTTTTCATTAATTGATTATATTATAAGTAATTATATCTGATCACATATGCTTATAGGAGTTTATGTAATGAAATATTTGTATTAGTTAATATGTATGTAAGTTCCTAATTCACTTATTTATTATATAAGATGAGTGTAACAATAAAAATATATATTTATTAAAATATATTACATTTAAAGAATAAAATAATTTTAGTATATATAAATAAGAAAATAACATTCATATAAATGTTAAAATAATTTTTTTTTACGATAGTGACTGATATAGCCAGATAAGGATAATCCGGTCCAGAGGCTCCTTACTTAACCGACGAACCACTCGAACAACTCGCATGTCGACATGATTCCGTCGACATGTCCAAATCGACTTCCCTAAGGTCGATTCTACGGAGAGCAATCGAGAAGAGGCAGAAATTGGTCTAGTCGACTCTCGCAAGTCGACTTTAGTCTATCGACTTTCACTAGTCGATATCAATGAAAGAAGAACAGCAAGAGTATAACACCCGGGCATCCCGATATCCTAAGTCGACTCTCAGCAGTCGACTCTCTGAAGACGACATCACCTCAAAGAATTAGCCGAGCGTAGCCTCCGAATCCGCACATACCTACCAGTCGACCTCCTAGCTCTCGAAGTCGACCTCGCATACCTTGAATAACAAAGATGTGATGACGACTCATCACACTTGCAACATACTTAGAGATCTGCAGTGTACAATTTTTTTTTTTTAAAAAAAAAAAAGAAAATAGCTTGAATTTTGGGTATCTTAGTCAGGTATTAAATGATGGTGGCCATATGAATGTTAGCGTGCAAAAGAGTGTTATAATGAAGTTTTTTGTGTAGTTATCAAAACCAAAATATATATCATTACGAAATAAAGCCATTCATCTGATCCTTCTCTCATCGGAGGGCTTTTTTCTTTCATCGGAGGGCTTCCATTCTCTTATCGGAGGGCTTTCTCCTTTCATCTTCTAATCTGATCATTTCTTGACCTCTTCTTCGTATACTTTCTTATTGCTTACTGAAGTTGGGGGTTCTCATGGGCTCCACGGACGAGATTGCCAATCGATTGAGGGCTTTTTTGCTGTCTCAGAAAGAGGCAAAAGTGATAGACTTGGGCAGCGACGATGTCAAAGCTGGAGTAGATGAATGCGACAAGAGCCTTTCTGGCAAGATAATTGGGGACAAGCGAGCTAGCTTGATAGGCATAAAAAAGGCGATGAACTACATATGGAAAATCTAGAGCTCTGTTGAGGTAAGGGAATTGGGAGTAAATTTTTTTTAGTTCATATTTGAAAGTAAGGATGATCTTAAGAAAGTGTTGGGAGGGAACAACTGGATTTTCGAAAATCAATACCTCATATTGCAAGAATGGAAGAGAGGCCTATCAGTTAATCATGAATCTTTCAACTCTGTTAAGTTATAGGTCCAAGTCCACAATATTCCGCTAAACTGGCTAATGGAAGTTGGGCTCAAATTGGGGAGCATGTTCAAGGAGGTATTCAATGTTATAGTGGTAAATTCGGTGGGACTAGGTGGGCGTTTCCTGAAACTGCTTGCCTTAGTGGATATTACGGAAGCTCTGCCTCACTTCTCCAACATAAGGTTGGATGATCAACTAGTTACAATGTCTTTCAAATATGAACGCTGTAACACCCCGCCTTGACTAGCTTTGCCTTTTGAAAAATCAGAGTAAATTTTTCGCTTTTTATTTTTGAAATGGGGTGTGAGTTTATTTTCGAAAATACTTACTTAATTGCGGGATGCTACTAAAACTTACTTAACTTAGTTAGTTGGACAAACATATAACATACAACCCATCTGCCACTGCGGCGACGATGAATACATACATATATACATACAGTCCCAAAGTCTTGCACATATAGTCTAGCGGAAGCTTTAAACTGAAAACATACATAACACACGCATACTTATAAATACATGTTTTTGAATTTAAGGCATAAAATGCGTGTAAAAATGTCCTCTGCTCATGACCACGAATGCCACATCTGCTCACCCGGCACGCTGGACTCCGACACCTGAAATAAGAAAGACTGTGGGAGTGTGAGCAAATCTGCATGCTCGTGGGAAAACTGGAACTGTAATAATCTTAACTGTAAACATAAACTTAAAAGCAGCATAAAATAAATAAATAAGTTTTGCTGAAATGGAACACTTTTCTTATACTTATACTGTGGTCTCAAGGACCCTTATAGGCCCTTACTTCGGTCGCTCGTGTGCACATCACCCGATAAGACTGAAGGCCCTTAGGTCGGCCCCTTATCGGGTACCAGGTGGAATAGGAAGGCCCTTAGGTCGGCCTCTCACCTGAGAGAAACTTAATATCTCGAACATACCTCAGTCATGGTACAATAATTATGGACGGTGTAAAACCCAGTATGTGACCCTTACTCTGGCTGACACTGAATTAGATAACATCTATAATAACATATCATGAACTTCAATATATACGAACTGAACTTAATCTTTCTTTTCTTTTCTTTTCTTTTCTTTTCTTGTGGTCAAAGACCCTCGGCCCTTAGGTCGGCCGCTCGATGTGCACAACCCGATCTGCGGGTACCAGGCGGAATAGGAAGGCCCTTAGGTCTGCCTCTCACCTGGGAGAAACTTAATTGAACCACAAACGGGATGATTCAACCGTCTGGGTAACTTACTCACTCACGTACCTTATACAAGATAACTGAAAGGCGCAACGTAATTCCCTGTAAAGGCTCCCACCTGGTGTTGAAAATAGCTGGCAAGTGTTGGAACTGAAGTAGCGGTCGGAGGCTCGACTCTCCTTAGGCTACATAAACATATAAGTAAAATATGCTAAGTATTGTGCTCAAAATAATTATTTTGATATGCTTGATCTAGATGCTTGACCCGGATGAATTTAGACTGTTAAGGAATTTTTCTTAAAATATTCTAAGTCTGGAATATTAACTGGTATTTTTTTGAACTGACTAGACTGGCTCGGAAAAATACTGAAAATTTCTCCGGAACACGCTCGGACCGGGAAAAATCGAACCAAACAGCTCAGACTAAAAACCGACTCGAACCGCCGGTCGAACTGGCCGGTTCGCTGGCTAACCGGACCGCCGGCTTGGCTGAACCGGGCGGTCGGGTGCTGGCTCGGACTGACCGGGCTCGGTCCCGCACCGGGCCTGCTGGTGCCCGGGTGCGGCGCTGGGCACGCTGGGTGCGACCGGGC